CTGGGGACAAGGGATGGAGGGACAGGACAAGGGGGAATGGCTTCAAACTGACAGAGGGCAGGGATAGATGGGATATTGGGAAGGAATTGTTGGCTGTGAGGATGGGGAGGCCCTGGCACAGGTTGCCCAGAGAAGCTGTGGCTGCCCCATCCCTGGGAGTGTCCCAGGCCAGGTTGGATGGGGCTTGGAGCAACCTGGGCTGGTGGAAGGTGTCCCTGCCCATGGCAGGGGGTTGATCTGGGTGATCTTTAAGGTCCCTTCCAACCCAAACCATTCCATGGTCTGCAGAGTTCTGGGAGCCTGGAGGCTGAACAGAGCTGGCTTTGGGAGAGGCAGAAATGATCTCCAGGCCTCTTCCAAGGGCACTGTCTCCAGGCTTTGGAAAGCTGTGAAATTTTGGGTTGTGTTGCAATTTGAAATTCCCTTTTGCTGCATTTTGGATCCTTTATCCTTGCCAAAGTTTCTGCATAAAAACACACATTACCAACTCTGCTGAAGTGATTCTTGGCTCCAGGGGTTTTTTTTCCTGATCCACATCCCTGTGACAAGTAATTTCCAAGTGTGAAAATTGCTTTGATATCTTTATTCAGCACTTGCTCACTTAGAAAGTTGTTGCATAACCCAGGCAAGGGAAGAGGCTGGAGTTTTGGGAAAGGACTTTTCCAGTGCTGGGAAAGGGCAGCTTTCCAGTTGCTCCAGGAATGCTGGGCTGTGGGGCTGCACTTCCAGTTTTCAGGCTGTTTTGTGCTGTGATCAGAGCAGGTCCCTGCCAGCTCAGAAGCTCTGAAAATGTGTCCTGAAGTTGTTTTGCAAGTCAGGCCTTCCCTTGAAGGGAGGGAGCAAATCCTAATGAGCCCAAGGAGCTGCCTTTGAAGTGGCTTCCTACTCGTCCCCCAGTCCCTGCAAAGGCTCTGTGAAGTTGTGTGAAGGAAAGAGCAATTTTTGTTTGGAGTTTGCACCATCATTTCCTCTCCCCAGAGGGTGCTTTTGCTGTTCAAGCAGCTCAGTGTTTGTGTTGACAATACTGAGATTCATTAGCTGCAAAAACAGGCATTTCTTGGAGGTGTCTGGGCAGGAAACAGCATTTTCTAGCAATGACATAACTTGAGCTGTGTCTGAGAAAGGTGTGTGAGTGTTCAGGGTGCCTGCCTTGGGGCTAGGAAGTGGGGATAAAAATAAAGGGGTTATTATATTTACTCCCAAACGGTGGGACACTGTTCCTGTGCCTGAACAAGGGATCCAAGGGAAGGGCTGGGTTGGAAAAGGGAGATGGTGCTCCCCTGTCCCACTTGGAGAAGGGAGATGATGCTCCTCCTGCCTCACTTGGAAAGGGAAATGCTTCCTCTGCCCCATATGGAGAAGGGAGATGATGTTCCTCTCCTGTCCCCCTTCAGAAGGGAGATGATGCTTCCCTGCCCCACTTGGAGAAGGGAGATGTTCCCCTGCTTTGGCTGGAGAAGGGAGATGATGTTCCTCTGCTGTCCCACTTGGAGAAGGAAGATGCTCCTTTGCTTTGGCTGGAGGAGGGAGGTGCTCCCTTTTCCCACTTGGAGAAGGGAGATGATGCTCCCTCTGCCCCATTTGGGGAAGGGAGGTGCTCCCCTACCTTGGTTGAGGAAGGGAGATGCTCCTTCTGCCCCATTTGGAGAAGGGACAT